TTTTTTGTTCAGTGTTTTATTTAATTTTTTATTAAATACAAAAAAATTAATAATTTAATAAAATTTTAACAAAATATTATTTAAAAACTTTTTATATAATATTTTTAATTAAATAATTAGTAAAATTAGCATAAGTCAAAGCGTGCCTAAAGTAGAAAATGATTACAGATGCCCTTGTTAATACGTTTGATCTGACCCCGACTCTCACTTCTCCTATAAAGTAGTTCTCCATTGACCAAGAAACTTCCCAGCAATTGTTGCAAATTCCAACTTCCAGGACCTGATTGAATTTGAAAAATGACGACAACTCCAAGTAAAACATCTCATAATTTCAACCCTTTAGACTATCAAATTCAGCTGATTTCCATCTCTTTTCCCACCCTCATCAAAGACTGAACTTTTTGTCCCCAAAGTTTTTTCTTTTCCAAACTTTACCCTTCTCGACCCTCCCAAACTTTTAGAAAAGTATATAGAACTATTTCTGCTTGTTTAATTCTTTGTAGACAAAACGCGTAATGGACTAATGGTGCCATTCCTTCTTCAATATTCTGATTTCTTTAGGTTAAATTATGAAACTCAAAGGGCCCAAACTTTCAAATCTTTCCGCTAATCTGAGGACGTTTCAACCAAGGCAGAAAGAAAACTTGACAGTTGATAACATTTACCAATCATTTCATAAATTAGAAGTGGTCAACGGGAAGAGGGTCATAATTCTTACCTCGGGCTCACCGCCGACCAATGGAAAGATTTTTATACTGAATGATTCACATGGATTATCCCACCTTGCACGCTTTCAGTCGTTTACCCCAGGTCTTCCCATCCAAATCCAAGTCAACTGCAGAGAATATTTGTAAAAATAATAAGTAACGGTGTATAAAGGACCATGGCAGAATCAAGGGATATAGGTCAGTTTTTCTAGTTTGGGATTTTACAAAAGACAGCCGGTTTGTTCACAGGGAACTTAGCTCCTTCTATCTGTTGTTATTCTGTTATCTTTATTTGTTCTTGAATTTGGAATCTCTCTCCTAATGCCTTCTGCTGCTGTATCCTTGTTTCTTTTTCTGGTTCTCACCTCTCTTGAAATTCTTCTTTCTGCTGGTGAAGAAGAGTGGCCGCCTAAAAAGTGCCCGCCCTTTAAATGCGGTAATTTTAATGCACCGGGGGTCCTTTCCACTGGTAGCGGAAATTTAAGTGCACCTGGGTGTGGGATTTTCCCAATTAAAGGGTGCAATGAAACAGTTCAGAAGATCCAACTGGAGAAGGGAAGAGGAAGATGGTACACACTAGAAGGAATGTCCCAAGGGGAGAGAATACGGGACAACAAAATTACCATTCAGGATGATGAGCTTTTACAATCTACTGATTGTCAATTCTTTGTCAATTTGCCTCTTTCCAACTCTACTGGTAACTCTTTCCGTATTCGTTCCAGCGTTGCTATTCTCAATTGTAGCAAAAGCCATCCAAAAAATGCCATCCCCGATTACTTCACTCACATAAACAGAAGCTGCAACAACCGCAGTGTATACTATAGGATCCATGATGTACCTCTTGATCCCAATTTGAATGTACCTTCGACTTGTTCTCTTGTATATGATTCCCCACTTATGAACCTCCCTTCATACAACAAAGACCACTTTACACCATTGATTGCCAACTTAACCATACATGTTGAAATCAACCTTCCTGGTCCCGATCATGATCCTGATCTTGGTCCTGATCCTTGTCATGCATGTAGAAAAAATGGCGGATGCTCAAGTCATTGTACCAAAAACAGAAAAGGTAGGAGTATCGACTTAAAGCCCGCATCCGTAATTGTGCACATGATGTATGTTGGTCTGTGCGAATATATTGTTTCTTACATTTTTCTGTTTTTGATCCTTTCAGAGGATAATAACAATTAGTTTTTTGAGCAATCTTTCTTCTTCACTAACTATGCATTTCTTTGTAATTTTCATTGCAGGGAAATTAGCATTGAAGCTAGGAGTTGGTAATATATCTCTTCAACATCTCTTATTCTTGGCAGCATATGTTTCTCCTGAGAAAAATTTCTCCATATTAGAACTCACTACTCAAGTCTTTGTACTGCAGGATTTGCAGGCTCAACTGGTTTTCTAATAATCTTGTCTATTGTTATCATACGGCTTTGTGCCTACAAAAAGAAACGGGGCTCTTCAAACTTTACAAGAGGGAACACTTCTTCCAGTCTCTCCTGGAGGACATCAGACCTGGAAGGGGGCGGTGTCTGCTTTGGAGTGGAAGTCCCTCTCTTCTCCTATGGTGAACTTGAAGAAGCCACAAATAATTTTGACCACAAAAAAGAACTTGGAAATGGAGGATTTGGGACTGTATACCATGGTAAGGATGAAACATCCTCTTTTCTCATTGAAAAATCAACTATACAAATGATACAAACAGTTAAAAAGGATGGGTAGCTAGCTTCTTCAATTGGGTTCCTCTCTTTCTTTTGAATCAGGAAAACTCAAAGATGGGCGAGAAGTTGCAATCAAGCGCCTGTATGATCACAACTACAAGCGTGTAGAACAGTTCAAGAATGAAGTTCAAATCCTAGCCCGCTTGCGCCACCAAAATTTGGTCTCCCTCTATGGCTGCACTTCACGCCACAGCCGTGAACTTCTCCTTGTTTATGAATTCATTCCCAATGGCACAGTTGCCGATCATATCCATGGAGATCAAGCAAAACCTGGGTCATTCCCCTGGCCTGTTCGCATGAGCATTGCCATAGAAACTGCAACTGCATTAGCTTATCTCCATGCCTCTGGGATTATCCATCGTGATGTCAAAACTAACAACATTCTCCTTGACAATAATTTTTGTGTCAAGGTAGCAGATTTTGGACTCTCCCGGTTGTTTCCCAACAATGTCACTCACATCTCAACAGCTCCACAAGGAACTCCTGGCTATGTCGACCCAGATTATCACCAATGTTACCAGCTCACAGAGAAGAGTGATGTCTACAGCTTTGGAGTTGTTCTCATTGAACTCATATCGTCCATGCCTCCTGTTGATATCAGCAGGCACAGGCATGAGATCAATCTGGCTAATCTGGCAATAAACAAGATTCAAAAGAGTGCAGTGGACGAGTTGATCGACCCAACTCTTGGATACAAGTCAGATGAGAACATTAGAAGGATGACTACTTCAGTTGCAGAGCTGGCTTTCAAATGCTTGAAACAAGAGAAGGAAATGCGACCTTCAATGGTTCAAGTACTGCAGCAACTGAAGAGAATACAAGGACAAGAGCCAAATCTAGACAATTATATGGAAGAGGGTCACCTCCATATTGAAGAGCTGAACATTTTCCAGCCACCACCTTCACCACAAACCTCTGATGAGGTTGCACTTTTGAAGAACATTCGGCAGCTATCTTCACCTACTTCAGTGACAGCCAAATGGGTTAGCATCAGTACGACACCTAATAACAGTAGATAAGATTCTCTACCATTTAGCTCTTTTTTTCTTTTTTTTTCCAGAGGAATCTCCATTTTGTTGTTTATTTGCTTCTCTTGGTTTTGGGGGAATGTACATAGCTATGGAGGTGTGAATATGGCATTTAATTTAATGTTAATCTTATGCAGTTCATTTAATTCTTACTACTACAAAACAATACTTTCTACTCAGTACACTGCCACAAACAGTTAAACTAATGATATCAGAAACTGCAGAAGTCTGTGGAATGGATGGAGGAAACAGAGGAATTCATATTTTGTTCTTCTGGTGTCTGAAAACAGACAAATTCTTGAACCTAACGTACCTGTTCTTTTCTACAAGAACAAGAGACAGGGTGATAAGGGCCAATAGGGACAAGATTCAGGGACCACAATCCCATGAGCTTAAAGAATTCCCTTGGAAAACGCACCTCCCTTTCTTACCGGTTTTCCATATTCCATTCAAAGCACGCACTTTTTGAAACTGTGAAAAAAAGTAAGGAACAGAAAGAGAGAATGGAGACTCCAATGTGGATCCTTTTCTCTCTCGGAAAGACACATACAATCATTTCAGGATTCAAATTCTAAACCCTCCATTTACCTTTTATTAATTTCTGCAAATATTACTCGCTAGGAGGAAGTCTACAATATCGCAGGTATACCAGGTGGGACGTATCCCAAACCAATAATATTTTGACACGTTTTAAATGTGGGGCTATAAAATACCGAAAACTAACACCGTTTCTTTGCCTTCCTTCTTCCTTTCTTTGAGCTGTTTCAACTGCTTTCTCTGTGGATTATTTTATTTTATTTTATTTTATTTTCTTTGCTGCGTTTGCTTGCTACTCTTGAAAGGTTGAGTAACCATGAAACACCTAAAACTAACACCATTTCCTGTCGTCATTTTTCCTTTCTTTCGCCTTGTGTCTTCCTTCTCTTATCGGCATTTCCTTTCCTTTTCATTCTCCGCTCTTTTCTTCTCTCAAGGATACAAGAGGGATTGCTCTTAAAACACCTTGTGATGATTAGCATCAATATCAACAGTGGAATTTGGGGAAAAGCAAAAATGGATGGGTTTTGGAGAAGTGATGAAAGAGGTAGATGACAGCCGCCATGATCTGGTGTTCAAAGACACTGTGAGCACATAAAAACTTATTTTCCAAATTGCCAAAGCATTTAAATTCATGATTTTTTGATAATATACCTCCAAAGTCTCAACCTTCCTTCACATTCCCCAATTAAATTTCAAAGTGAATTTCTTTTGTTTGATTGATGACAATAGTATCTAAGATAAAAAGATTTCAATTTTGATGATAAAAGATTTACAGAGAAAAAAATTTAATGACTATAAAAAAATTAAGAAGAACCTCATAAATCACTTTATTGGAACTATACAAAGAAAAAGAAATGGTCATTCAACATTTCAAGGGTAGCAGGTAAAAGTAGCAAAAAAAAATAAAAAACAGAGAGGAAGAAGTAGAAACGGCCACGAAGAAAGGAAGAAGGAAGGCAAAGAAACGGTGTTAATTTTAGGTGTTTTATGATCCCACAATCTAAAACGTGTCAAAATATTATTGGTTGCGGGATACATCCCACGTGGTATACGCGGGATATTGTAGACTTTCTCTACTCCCTAGAGACCACAATTTTCAGCGAAAGGAAACAAAGGAAATGGCGACGTTACAGAAATTCAAGCTGCTAGCAACACAATGTGGGGTGGCGCAAAGCCCAACGCGCAGCCGAGCACAAGCCCCGTTGTCCACTTCCTTCGCCGCAAATCCACCCTGCGCATGCTCCTCACGAGAACCACCAGCCGCCGAGGGGTACCTAACCAGGACTGTTTCGTCGCTACCTCACCTTCTGAGAAGAAGAAGAAGAAGAACGACGACAGGGATACAAAAGGCCGCACTTTGAAGGATCTGCTTGTATCGTCACCCTCACCCTGTGGAGAAGACGAAGACAAAAGCAAGGTCTTCAACGGGAAAACTGGCGGTAGGAGCGAAGTGCTTCCGGATAATTCGAAGGGTCTAGATGTCGGTTCGGGTTCGCCGAGGACAGGCTGGGTCGGGATCCGGGCACAGGCTGCTTCTGAGGAAGGCTTGGCGTCCGATGGTTGTGTCCATTCCTGAATAATTTTCGCTAAATTTTGAAATAAAAATATGGTTTTGATTTTTCCGGATTTTCTGTTGTCAATCAATCTCTTGTTGGTGGTGTGTATAAAAACACCTTGCATCTCTGTGAGCCATTCCGATTGAATTTTATGAATGTGTGAGTCAATCAATCAATCTCTTGTTGTCAATCATCATCTCCCCCACAATAGCAGGAGTATCCCGGAATGGATCACAACCATTTTTTTAGCCTCCTCCTCCTCCTCCTCCTCCCTCTCTATCCATTGATAAATCTCTTTTTCTTCACATTCTTTAGCTTAGAAAGAAAGACTTTAGCTGTTGATTTTCTGCACAAAGTCTGCAGTATTCCCACCACCTGTGGGGGCCAAAAGATAAGCTTCCCATTCTACATCCCTGGCCAGCAAGAACCCTACTGTGGCTACCCTGGATTCAAGCTCTCCTACCGGAATAATACAACTCCGCTTCTCACCTTTGCCGATCAAAATGACTTCATAATCCAAGAAATCTTCTATAAGAACGAATCTCTTCGTGTGTCAAATTCAGTAGCTGTAGATGCAGGGGAAAGTAATTGCATCCCTTCTATCAGGAATACATCCATTCCTAACGACAGATTCGAGTACCGGGATTCCGGGAACGAGACAGAACTATTCTTGCTTTCCAGGTGTTATTTGACAGTTGCCAAAGGTCTTTCACAATATAAGGAGAATTGCGCTGGGAGAAATGTTGATGACCTGTTCTGGAAAATGCCGCCGAGAAGTGTAAAGAAGTGGTTGCAGCGCCGGTAGATGTAGGTGGAACACGGAGGACCGGCGGCGTTGGGGACATGTTGAGAAGAGAGTTTGTGATGAAATGGATAGCCAGCGATTGCAGCATTTGCGAGGAGAGCGGCGGGCGGTGCGGCGCTGTCTGTCGTTCAATAGGTACGTGTGTTTCCCTCTTCAATTAGAATTGGCTATATAACTTCAACTCAATCTGTTGGCACCTCTAATATTCTCTATCACCTTCACGTCCCCACATCATTAAACCACCGAAGCTAAAGTAACGGTACATAAAATTTTAGGGGAACTACTTAGGAAGAGAATTGTTTTCTTAATACATGTTCCAACAACATTCAAGTGAATTTTTTATAAATTAATAAGGATGACTTTCGTTAAACATCTTTATGAGACGAAAATCTTAAGTTCGAACCATAATTAGGAGATGAATTCACGTACTCTTAAACTTAAAACAATATTTAGTCATTGGATTATATTGGTAAGTAAGATTGCATGTGCTAAAATGAGTCCCTTCTTGGAGCTTTTCAAAGAATCTCCCTCCTTGCTTATAGTTTACTTCAAGTTTTCGTAGAGACCCCAAATTGTCCATACGTTTATTTTTATTTAGTGATGACTGTTGACTGTTCTGTTGCTTGTAAGATGGCTATTATTATATGGGTTTCAAGTTCTGATTTCATGTATGAATCTTAATTCACACTAAGCAAAAGACTATGAGATGCAATAAAACAATAGGGAGCATAATATGAAGCGTAAACTTTCTAGGAAAGTGAGGGTTTGGTCGACTAAACTAAATTTATTTTAGTCAAGTGATCATCCAATAACAAAATTTAGGATCAATCAAGCAATGGTTAAATTGTTAACTTTCTCCAATATCTTTTTCGGGGTCAGCAACAAATAAACAGGCCACTGCTCCATATATAAGGAAGTTGTTGGCCTGAGTAAAACTCAAAGTTTAGGGTCATCAAGCAAATCACTATATTACAAAGTTTGGTTCAATTACTAATGGTCAAAACACTAACAGAGAAGCAAATTATGTTTTGCTGACATGATTGAATATATATAGGTAATTGAACTGCAACTGATTAAATACACAACCATGGAGGAACGATATTGGATTCAACATGAGATTGACAGAACCATACCCTCTTTCAAAGAAACAAAACAGGTTTTCTGAACCATAGGTGCATTAAATCAATAGGCAATCAGAATAATCGAAGATTGGATTTGATTTTGGTGAGTTTGGGGACAGAGAGACCTTCATCAGTAGAACCCTCTAAAAACTCTTAACATTTATGCACAAGCCTCTTAAGGGAGTAGAGCACGGCCTGTTTCTTGGTCTCTACTCCCCATTTGATTGCCTTGGCAAAAACATCAAGGCTGTGCCGCTGAGGCGTTGAGATATCCCAATCCCATATCACTGAGTAAGTGTAAGAACAAATAGCAGATATGAATTAGGTCCACCTACTACTAATAGCTCAACCTAAACTTTACATGTTTGGTTTGGAAAAATGAGAATTTCTTGGTAAGAAAGGAAATTTAAGAAGTTTATTTCATACGTTAGAACAATGAGAAAGTAAAGTTAATCATTTTCTTTTTTAAATCAGGTACTAAGAAACTGTCAAAAGAAAATGAGTTTACTTTTCTCTAACCAAACATAACTTGAAGGACTAAGTGTACATATTACATAATCCCAATCGAGGTCCAACTCTATGAAGCACAATAAACATTTTATTTTTTGTTGAATCTAAAAATACATTAATGGTAGTACCATAAAGACATATCAGGACTCACATAAGAAAAATGTGGTGTAACAACCCTAAGGGCAACATCTATATGCGTATATGCTAACAGGTACCATAGCACTTAGGCAATTGAAACAGAGCAGCACACTAGGCAACTTAGCTATTGTCGAAACCAGGCACAGCATAAGATCAGCAATCCTATGATGCACAATAAATAGCAGAATAAAAAAAAAAAAATTGAAGCACGATAAATAGAGCAAAGGGAGGTCTATATTGTTGAAATACCTCATATTTGTAGCTGGAGTCAACTTTTATCCTTAAGAATTATAGTAAGAAGGCTTGTGAAACAGGTCAATTAAATTCCTAGCGTACTCAATGATTCAAAGAGTCCCTCACCAGTTTAGAAGATGTTTCTTGCTTTGGTGCTGCCCAATACCATGTTCAAGACAACTCCAAAATTCTCTAGGTTTTGCCCAAACAAAATTATCCTTTTCTTGGCAAACTTGGCATCTAGAATATCCAAGCTTCCGAGCATATCAAAATGGAGAAAGGCCAAATTTAACTGATTCTAAAAATCATGTAAAACTTGGTTTAAATGAAAGACGCAGAGGTTTCTATGGTAACATCATCCTCTAGTGTCAATAACACAATCTCTAATTTGCTAGGTTTAGCAACCTAATGATATTCTCAGCCTGTTTCACTGACTTAATTGTAACTTTCGTAGAAATATTATTTAAGCAAAGATTTTGCAGAATTGCTAAATTACGAATTCATTTATATGATTAAAATAATTAAATTCAGGAGTTTAATAACAAAATCATTAATTTTGAAATTATCAGTTGGTGTTGGCAAAAAAAAAAAAAAAAGACAGATTATAGAGTAGTACAGAAGATTCTTTTAGTAACGAAGTCAAATATATTACCCCAAAGAAAAAAAAAAAGAAGTAAAAGTCTAATTTTAACCCCTCACATTATCAAATTTAAAGGTTTTAACTTTTTATTTTATATTATGATACTTTTAATCTCTGACCTTCATAAATTTGTAAGTTTTAGTACCTTATCTTATATTACAATACTTTTAACTCCTCACCTATTAAAATTGAAGAAAATAACCCTCACTTTGTAACATTTTGTTAGTTTTATTAACTGATTGTTAATTTTATTATTTGACTGTTAGTTGACTGTTAACTGACAAAAATCTCCTTTCAACTAATATAATTAACAGATTTTTAGTTAACAAAATTAACAAAATTAATTTTATAATATTTCATTAATTTTATTAATTGACTATTAGTTCACTGTTAGTTGATAAAAACTTACTTTCAACTAACAGAATTAACAGTAAATATAAAATAAATGCTATTTTTTTTTATTTTAATAGGTGATGAGTTAAAAACTTACAAATTTAGTAAGGTAAGGGGTTAAAAGTATCATACTATAAGGTAATGGGTTAAAAGTATCATACTATAAGATAATGGGTTAAAACCTTTAAATTTGGTAAGATGAAGGGCTAAAACCAAATTTTTGCCCAATAAAAAGAAAAAAAAATTAAAGCGAAGTCAAACATGGACCGCAGATAATATTGACAATAATGCAAGGTGGAATGGTGGATATCTATTATAGGTACTAAATAAATGTCAGAAACACAGAAGGAGTCAGAATTCCCTTCGCGTTTCATTGGAAGGAAAGTTTCCTCCCACTTTCACTTTATCTGGGTCTCTTGGGGTTTGTTTATGTAATTTTATAGTTTAATATTATAATAAAAAGATAATATAAGTGCACTTGTTTTTCGGTTTAATGGCGTTAAATAACGTATAAATGCATTTTTTTACTTTTAA